ACGACACCCCAAATCTACACTACAATACCACGTAACACTTTGGGCGTAATCAGATCTCGACCTATCTCCTTATTGGCACTTTTGACCTGTTGGCCCTCCTCTTTGACTTCTCATTGACCGTTTTGCCTACGTGGCGTGCCACGTGGCTTCGCCTCTTTAGACCTCGAAATCGAGGGGTAACAACAACAACAACAACAACAACAATAATAATAATAATAATAATTGCGTTGGGATTGAATGATCATATGTAAGCTTGAAAAACTCAAAAATGAAGAGGTATGGTAAAAAATGAGAAAGACTTCTAACTTCATATAAAAGAGTGAGTATTTTTTTACTGTTCATAAGCCACATTTCTAACAAAGCTGAGCCGTCACATTTCTAACAAAGCTGAGCCGTGTTGGAGTGAGTTGAAGCGGTTTCATCATTGCTGGGTTTTTCTTTTACTCTCTCTAAGACACGTTTTCCTCTATTTTGACACGCAATATCTCTCTTTTCATTCTTTTATGTTCAGATCTGCTTTCATTTTCTCTCTATAGTTCTTCCCTCAGCTCACGAAAATCACCGCGTCTTTTAATCTCCTCTTTTGCACTATTGGTATGTTGGTAGATATTATTTGTGGTGTTCTTCTTCATTTCTTCCACCGACCAAAATTGTAGCTCCGAAAATTCTATCGACAATGTCGTTTCTACTTCTTTATCTCTGAAAGTTTAAATCTGTCGGTTGAATGTGGATTTGGCTTAATAGAGAATCAATTTTAGTTTCTGCATATCAAAAGGTATGTGTTGCTCATTTTTTACGGTGCATAAATTGTGGGCTTTCTCTGAATCATAGATCTGCCTGTTGATTGTGGATTTGGCTGAATAGAGGAACAATTTTAGTTTCTGCATATCAAAAGGTACGCATCGCTCATTTTTTACAGTGCATAAATTGTGGGCTTTCTCTGAATCATTGATGCTTTGCTTTATTGACCACTAAAGCTAAAATTCTTCACTCATACTACATGATTTTTACTTTATTAATCCAACCTCTTAGTTGGTTTTTTGTGAATTTCTTATTTTTCCATTGATTTGTTGTTTGTTGCTTAGTAGATCATACCCTATTTCTACAACAAAATGATTTTATTTGTATATTACCGTTGAATTTTTTTTCCCTATTTGTGGATATTTATTAAATTGGGTAAAACCTATTTGGTGGATTTTCCTTCAAAGCGCAATTTACCTGTGTGCTTTGCATGCAAATTTGTTATTTATTTATTCTGCTTAGTGATAATTTGGGATGTTCTCAATGAGGGACGTGTGCATGATGTGGTGAGAAATGAATTTTGGTGTATTTGAGAGATGTGGTGTGTTTTTAGGAAAGAGAACTTTCCATCTGTGCCTCCTATTGGCCAAGTTGTAGTCGAGGGAGAAGCCAAGCCATGTGTTGGAGGATAAATCTATCATTTCGGTGCCTTACGAGAAACTCGACGATTCCAAAGTTGTTGTGCTGTCCCCAAGTGAACTTTCCTATTGGGTTGGCGAGTTTTTTGTTTCGGAAATGAGTTGATTGAAATTAAGGAATAAGTGCAAATGGGAAGACCAAAGGCATGAAATAAAGTTTGAAGGGAAGACCGGACTCAAAATAAGATCGGCAGACAGCAGAAGGGGAGCTGTCCAGGCAGGCTCTTGATCACACCTATCCACTGCCATGATTTTTTCCCCCTTTTTTGAGACAGTGCATTGTGAGTTTAATACTAGAAGCTATTATCTGACTACTGTATCACAAACTATGCCAAGCATCTATTGCTGTATGCTTTACATCTATTAAAAGATAAGATATTACAAGCAAGGGTATATAATGGAATTATGGTTGGGGGGAACCACTGTTCATTACTGGAAACCAGTGTGAAAATTTCTAAATCATAGGTGCAACAACTCGTGTTTTGTCTTGTTCTTTAAAAGGGACAACAACCCGACTGAAATGTTGTATAATTCTAATCAAATTGCATTTTGACTCAAAATTTCATGAAAATAACGTTTGAATTTGTAACAGGGTTTCCAGTCTTTGTTGGTTGCTATTATATCAAATTACAGAGTCGTGTACCGTGGAAAGATCCTTCGAAACTATAGTGGGGTAATTGAGAGATTTGTTGAGTCATCACTGCTTTATTTATGATATGAAGTGGGTATCATGCTATAGTTGATGTTAAAATTCCGTTCTTGCAGCTATTGTGGCAAGGGATATCCATTTTTTCGTTGTTAGTAGTTTGCTCCACAAGGTATGGTTTAAGGTTGGTAGACTAAGCATTTTTCTCTGTTGATATATGCTTATTAGTTAACTATTATTAGCTATAAATCTTCAAGCTATTTACAATTAGTCTTTATCAAATCTAAGTTTCCAGAAAATGTTTTTTGGAATGTCTTTGATCCTCCTCAAGAGTATTATGAAGAAAAGAAAATTTGGACCCCTAAAATAATAAGAGCTTTATCTAGGAAAATGAACTGCATTTAAGTTAAATGGTAAAGACCAACTCAAAATAAGGCTGGAACTTTTAAGAACTCAGAGGGTCCTCTCAACTGCAGGAGGAAAACAAGAAATTAAACAGGAAATAGTGGAATAGTGTCATGCTATTGTTATTGCTAGATATAATGGGGGATGTAAAGGAATCAGATGCTGCAAAACTAGCATAGACCAAGCTAATTTATAAGACCTGAAAATTTTGTTTTCTATTTAGAGCATATAAAACTAACCCTCTTTTTTCTTCAATTTATATACCGTGAATCTGCCGAAGTGATATCTTTTATCTTTCTTTCTGTGGCAATTTAACAGGAGCAAAAACCATCATTCTCAGTCTCACTTGTTGGTTCCAGTTGCATTAAGGACATGTGGTGGTCTAGACAATTTGAAAAGATTTATGTTACCCTTTCAAATGATGGAGTTGTACCATGGATCTGGTCAAAGCCCCCTTGATTACATTATGGACAATGATGATTGTGGTATGACTTTTATCTTTCTGAATTAGTTCTCTGAACACGAGTTTGGTGCTAGATGAGTCTAATAGAATGCAAAAGTTTTAGCTTTCCAATGTCATAGAGATATTTGTATGCACCTTTTGCCTTTCATACATCTATTCTTCAGCTCATTGAATGTAGTTAGAACGAAAGACCATTCAAGGAAATACTAATGATCAACATCCTTTTTTGCATGAAGAAAAAAAATCTCTTCACTGCCAAAGGAACTAAGTTGTTTACATTGTTATTGACCATTTTCTTCCAATCAAATACTTGATTCTGTTTCATAGAATGTATATAACTTGTTCAAACGTGCAAAATGTGGTATCCTTTTCTTTTTTGTATATTTTGTTTACTCTCTCTTTTTTTGCGCAAGTTGATTGGAGTTTGAAGGGAAATTTTATTGCTGTAGCGAAGAAAAATGTCCTCCGCATTTGTCATCTCAATTTAACGAAACGTTGAAGTAGTTGCTTCCACTCCAGTCGGTCATCGGTGATTCTGATGTTAATCAAGTTATAAAAGGTAATGGTCCAGATTATCAAAAAAATTCTCTCAATTTTTTATAACTAAGT